AAAAAAAAAAAAAAAAAAAAACGATTAAGTTCTAGCCCTCTTAATTTTTGCTCCTTTTTCTTCCCAATTCTTTTTTTTCCTCATCTGTTGTTGCGGAGTTTGTTAGGCCGAAACAAAAAGTGCGGGAAAAAAGTGTATTCTGTGATTCATGGAAGTTTTCAATGGTGATTTTTTTTGTCGCTTCACTTCCAAAAATTACAAACTACAAATAAATGACACAATCGACTTTGTTGACAAACAGAAGAAAATTTCTCAGTTATATATATTCATTTATGCATATATTTAACTGAAGAAGTTTTAGAAGTAAAAATTGGAAAACGAAATAGAACAAGCAGGAACAAAGCGTGAGGGGGGAAGGGGGAAGGTGAAGAGAATAGCAGAAGGTGCATAAGCAACTGAAACAAACGGTAACAGCAACAATTGCAGCTCGACAAACAACAAAAATTCCGAACAGCTTTTTTTTCATTATGTCCTACTTTTTTATTCGTTTTTTTCTTTTTTTTTTGTCTTGCCTTGTTATATGTCTCCTGCAGCAAAATCGTTCAAATCGCTGGTCGTTTAAACAGCTACGAAAATATACTGCATAAAAAACAACGATTACACAAATGATGTACGTAGAAAAATAGTCTGGCCAAACTTTCTTTTCTGTCCAAATCGTCGTCGTCAACAGATCAGCAAAACGTCCAACTCTCTCCCTCCCGCCAAACAGTTTCATCTAGGCTGCCCATCATTAGTAACTACCCTTTAACTCGCTAAATATTAGACAAAACCTACTTTGTTTATCACCATCTTTTTTCGCACTTTTTTTTTGTTGTTAGCGGGTTATTCTTTCACAGTTTTTTTTGCCCGATATTCTACATAGCCTAGTTAGAAGAGGAAAAAACAACAATACTATAAAAAGGAAACCGTTTTTTGTCCTGTCATTCACTTCTAGCAAATAATCTGGAAAAACAAGGAAGGAAATGAACCTTTTTCAAAGTTGTCTGTTGAACATAAAAGTAAAAATAAAAGGAAAAAGAAAATTTGAAAGGAAGAAGGAAAAGTAAACTGTTATTACTGATTATTATGATTATGATTATTAACAGCGTAATTATTATTTGTGGGACTGAATGGAAATGAGCCTTGAAACCTGACGATCGAACAACAAAATGAAAAAGAAAAGGGAAGACCAATAAAGAATAGGCACTAGAACGAACTGCAGTTGAATGGATGAATGAAGAACAACAACAACAGAGAGCTAACACTAAATAACTGACTAACTAATTAGCTAGCTACGTCTTCCTTCCATTGACACGGCGCCGCTCTCAACCTTGCCAACGACGACGTTGTAGTCCGACACCGCTACTTTCTCTCTCTCCCATCGTCTATTCCGTTCCTGCGCTGGTACCGTCGCTTTCCTCTTGCAGACATTCCCCTTCCACCTCTTTTTACTTTCCATACTGAACTCTGTTCAACAACGTTAGAAATAAAAGAATTTTATTTTTCTCTTGAATCTTCCGAAAATAATTTAATAACTCGGCTGATTTGTCAGTGTTGCCACAGTCTTCACCGTCAGAATTGTCATGAGTGCGACTAAAAGCTGACTACGCAATTTTAATACTTTCAGAGCTTGTCGACCCCAGTCGTTTTTGGCCATTAGTAACACAATGGTGCAGAAGCTTTAAGAAGAGCAGCGGTTAGCACCTGCCAAAGTCATTCGGTATTCTCCTTCTGCGGCTATCCGATGCTGTCCACAGTCGAAAGATGATATAAAAGTTGGGGAGGATGATTTGGCCTTTGAACGGAACATAAAATAGGACAGGAAAAAATGGGAAGAGAAAGTGAAAGGGAAAAGGAAACAAAAAAAAAAACTAATCTATAGTCTCGTGCAAACACAAACACACATACACCAACAATACTTCCTGATGTCGTCGCCGCCATCGTCGTTGTCGTCGTAGAGATGTTAGCGCCGTTGCTTTTATTTTTATGCACACCTATCAGCAAGGAGTTTTGTTCATAAATTTGCAAAAAAAAAAAAACAAAAAACAAAAAACAAAAAGAAAGAATAATTAGAAAAAGCAAAAATAGGCTTTGAAAAAATAGACTATTGATTTTTCGGTTTGTCTGTCTGAATAAATACGGCTTTTTTAAAGACAAAATTTTAAACTTTCTTCTTTTTTATTAATATTCTTGTATTTTA